ATTATGGAAGATTCGGCGTGACTGAGACTCTTTTCCATTTGGATAACCAGATAGAAAACACGTACACCAGACAGATTTGTCTGGAAAATCAATAAAAATGTGGTGTATACTTTGATTGGCTCAATCAGCATTGCACACATGTTCGTTATTTAGGTTTAATCCTTATGGGCTTTCTACAAAATAAGCCATTACCTAAGTTTTAAATCTTAAGCCGTAAGAAATTGATCAATCACAGTCGAATGTGAGAAGAATAATCGACCATGATTGGTTAATTTCTTACGGCTTAAGATAATGACTTGTAGAAAGACTATTAGGTCTTCTACAATAAGCCATTAGTCATAAATTAGAAATCAGAAGCTAAAAATTGACGACTGTGACTGTTCAATTTTTAGCTTCTGACTTCTGATTTATGACTAATGGCTTATTGTAGAAGACTCATATTAGTCGACGAGAACACAGATTCTTGCCTGATGCATAAGGCATCAAAAAATTAATAGTCTTTTAATTATTTCATGGAAAGATTATGCGTTAATACATAACAAAACGTGTAATACATAATTTAATACAAACGATGATTTTCCGGTCCTTTAATTATTACACACAATCATTCGTGTCCCGCATTAATTTTCATCACTTCAACAAATATACAAAAATTATTAAGTGGCTCTTACATATGTTTTAACATTAAGAAGTATTTAAGAAGTATTAAAAAATTGTGTATTTAAAAAAATTGTATGTAAATGTTATAACAATTACTTGATGCTCCTACTTTTTCAAAAAAAAAAAAGAAATGTGCAAAAAACGAATGACCCAATCGTGTGTACTAAGGAAAAAAGAACCTATACAAGAACACATGTACGATGATTGAATTAATAAAAATTTGCGCCGCATAATATAATTTTATTCATTTTCCACGAGACGAGTTCATGGGTATTTTTTAACTGATTCATGTTCTGTTCTATGATTCGTTAGTTTTGTTTGCCGTTTATATTGTTTGCTTTCTTAGTTTGCATTCTTAGTTTTGCTTTCTTAGTTTTATTTGCCGTTTATATTGTTTGCTTTCTTTCCAGTGAGAAATGGAATCGACGTCGATTCGATATCGATTCCATTGTCATTTCTCATTGGGAGCTTTATAGTAGGGTTGACGACTATTCGCATATCCGGATATCCGAGATAGAGATAGATCCGAGATAAAATATTTGATTGTACCGGATATCCGGATTTTTCGGATCCGAAATCCGAGATTCGGATCCGAAATTTGGCTGAATGTTGATTTTGAATCTCCCGACATCTTTCTGCGTGTGTGTGTGTGTGTGTGTATGTGTGTGAGTACACTGTTAGAAATGTAACCACGAGCTTCCTTTACATGTAAATGAAGCTGGTGGCTATGAACGAAATTAAAAGTAATGAATGATTTAACTGAAAATTAAGTTACAGTAGTTACTTAAATGTAATGAACGTGTACATTAAATTTATGAAATTTAATGTACTTTTAATAAAATTTTATGAAAAGTACATTAAATTTCATAAATTTTCATGAAAAATACATTAAATTTTATGTGCATGAAATATACTTTTTAGTTACAAATACATTAAATTTAATGTAATGAAATTAAATTCAAATTAAATTCAATTATGTAACTTAAAAGTTAATGAAATTTAAGAACATTTCTAACAGTGTATGATATTAGGTATGAGAAAGCGAGATAATGTAGAGAGAAGGAGAGAGAGAGAGGTGAGAAAGAGAGAGAAGTCTTTTTTTTGACATTGTACCAAACGCTTCAATACAGTCTCTAAAGGAGATGCACCGATTTTTGTATTTTTAAATATATGCCAGACAGTGATGCCGAGTCACTAGATTTTATACAAAGTACCGCAATCAGTGCTAGCAGCCGATTACAATGGACATATAGCTGCGGTTTTGCCCCGTTTCAATTTC